CTCATTGTAAAGAAAATACGACTTTTTTTCGTAAATAAACCTAATAAAACCTATCAGTGTACCACATACTATCATTTATCAAGCTTAAGCGACGACGTAAGCTTGGCGATAAGCTCTATAAGGACAGCAGGACAGCTGATAGTCAGATCATTCAGGCCACCAGCCGCTGTTACCTCCTGCAGATTTGCCGGAGAGTTGAGGAAATCCAAGCATGCATCCTTCAGTCCATTGCAATGGTGCTTGTCAGCGAGCTCAAGCATAGTTGCCACCGTATCCGTGTTGATGTATGGGCACAACATGCGTTCACAGATCAGTCGGAGCCTCGGGACGTCATATCTATCCGCTGCCACAAGCAGGTCCTGCCACATATCCTCTTCTTCCTCCTCTTCAAACTCCAGCACGAAATCGGTGTACATGAAACCGAGCAACCGCCTGAATACCTTCGCGTCCATGTCGTCGATGTGCACGACGGTGTCTGCTGTCCCCTCCTTCATGGCGCCGAAGAGCTCGGCCTTGAAGACAGCGGAGCGTGCCGCAAACACGCACCGGTGCGCCATGAACGTCTCGTCGCCGACCTGAAATGTCACGTCGGTGCTCTCCTGTGACAGGAGGAGACTACCGAGGTGATGCTGAATGTCAGGAGGAGGCACGTGAACAAACCGCACGGCGGCGCCTGCTTCCCCGATGTTGACATTCTTAGTGATGGAGACGTCACACCTGATAGTGAAACTGTCGTTCCTGAGATGCTTCGACTTCTCGAAGCTCTGTCTCTTCATCAAACAGGCGAAACTATATGCGTCCGTGCTAGAGAAACCGTGCGCTCCCCTTTCGCCGACGAGCAACGATGACTCCGGCGACTGAACCTGACCAAGGAAGCTAAACACATACTGCGCCACGACAGGCTCGACGATGTTGTACTCGTCGAGAACGAGATAAAAGGATATGTAGTCGGTATTCTCCTGTTCGTAGCCATTAGGGTAGTACTCGATGATCCAGCGATGGCCTCCGAGCTTGAAGTGGTTTGACCGTATGCACTTGCCGTTGGGGGTGTCCTGATTTGTGCGTGAGTAGCCATTGACCACGAGCAGGTGGTACCCGCCGACAAGGAGGGGTGTGGAGGAGGTGGATGGCGGCAGACAGCTGTCTCCAACGAAGGATACTCCACAGAATGACATGGCCCGGCCCTGATTTCACAATGGAATTCATATGATGGTAATGCTTGTCAGTCCGCACTTAGCTTCAAAGAGGAAAATTAACTAGAACTACGGAATTGCCTATTCTATACTTCTCAGCTCAAATAAACATTTCTCCATTAGATTCCAAATGTAAGGATGAATGATGATGAATATTGAAAAACCATTAATCACAGGTGAATACTAGAAATTCACGAATGCAGAGAAAAAACTGGAGCAATAGTAATTCTAGACCTCGATCGGCGCCTTGTTGATGGCTTGATGCCCGTACGTGAAAGAATGGAAGTGATGGATCAGGCAAGCAGGGCACGCGCTGATGAACAATCCTTTAGCTGCTGGCCTCCTGAAACAGCAGAGCCGCACTTGTGAAGCACGTGCCGCTGTCCTAACCCTACTGCTTTCTAGGGCTGCACTGCTCGATCTAGGGCAGGCCAGGCGAAGTTGCTGCCTGCCGCCGGCCGCCACAAGCCCGCAACTCCGCTAGGGTCTTAGTTTCAGGTAGATAGATGGGAATGGGATTGGGTGATTGGACGATCGGGATTGCTCAAATAGGGAATTCAGGACTCTGACCGTAGGAGATTAGGTTGGGCATGGGCTTGGCTGATTAGAAATGAGTCGGTGCTGGCCCATTAATAACGACTTGCCTAACTGGCCCAGGGTTTGTATAGTTTTCAATTTGTATGTTTGATCACTGATACTCCTCCATTTAAAATTGTAAGACGTTTTTTAGAAAAACAAAAAATGTGTTATAATTTGAAATGGAGGAATACTTCTTCTATAAATACATACTCCTCTGGTCCTTCCGTCTATGTAAATTAAATTTCTAGAGTTGTCCTATGTCTAAATTATTTTATATTTGATCAATTTTAACAAAAAGTACTAATATCTATGATGTAAAATATATATATATATAGCATGAAAATATATTTCAAGTTATATCTAAATATATTAATTTTTCCAATAAAAATTAGTCTATTTTCTTTAGAATTCTCTTAAACCTAAAAAGTTTGAATCAGGACAACTCCGTAAGTTGATTTATTCATGGATGGATGGAGTACTTAAAATCTTTTGAATTTATTAGTAAAATACACATGTGTTGATATAGTGAAATATTGATGGTAAGCCCATATAGTATGTCTTCTACAATTATACGCCCTCCATTTCAAATTGTAAGTTGTTTTGACTTATTTAGGTACATTGATTTTTCTATACACTTAGATATACGATATGTCTATATACATAATAAAAAATTAGAACAAAGGAAGTAGTATTTTTGTATCGCATTAGTTAGAAACTCTGCATGTTTCTTAAACAACATACATAATGTTGAGTTAGGGTAAAGTCCATTTTTCAATCTCTAACTTGCACGGTAGTCCGAATTTCATCTTTCAACTATAAAACCGGGTTGAATTTATTTTAAATCGAGAAAACATGAAGCTAGTACCATTTCTCTGTAAAAAAAGTTACATATCTATTTATAAACTAGAGTTGTTTGGAACTAATTTATTTATGAGTAAATCACACTCGGTTCCTAAATATTATACCATTCTTATCCAAGTCCACTGGCAGAGCCACGTTAGGGCCATCTTGGGCGCCGCCGCCCCCTGCTCGGATAGAGTAGCATGCATGCACACTTGAAAGTTGCCACTACCGCACGCACATCTACATGCATTCATCTATGCCACGACTTGCATTAGCTATTTTTTTTTTATTCTAGCTTCCAGCCTGATGATGCTAGGAGTATATTTCAACGCACTATTACAGAACTTAATTAGCATTTGTGTTTAGCTCATCTGGCCGTTTCAAATGAGTACTGCTGTTGTTTCCGCTGTTTGCATGCAACTGCAGTATAATATTTCACTTATTACTCTGTTATATACTTAAGTACGTCTATTTGGCTGTCTTCTTCTACTTAAGACTTTAAGGACACAATGACAATTAGCAGGAGTCATCTTGACCAGGTCCTCAAACTATAAAATTACATACCTAGATCCTAAACTATTTAAGTACCCTAATCTCGGTCCAAAGCAGTTTTGTCAGTCTATTGGTTGATATAGTGTTCCAGCGTGAAATTAGCATGTGGGTCCATGATTCGTAATTTCACGGACGGTCGTGAACTACCACCTGATTCTCACCTCAATCCCCAAACCTCGAAATTGCAGTAATCCCTAGACATGCTCGCTGTGCATGTTGGCCATCTACTCTGACACCTAACAACAGTCCTCGGCCCGTCTAATCGTGCTTGCAGGTGGCATCAATACATTCTTGCCAAGACAAAATGAGAATCAGAAACATGGAGATCAAGAATGAGCAAAGACTTAATGTCTCAATATATAATATACTCACAGAACTTGTTTTCACATTATAGCATTAGCCTAATACCTGACAGCAGTGCTGAACTGCTGATTGAAAAGAAGCCAAAACAGTAGAGAGAGAGGGGAAATTAAGGTTGCAAATCAAACCAGTTTGAGCTGGACAGAGCTTAAACGCAACATATACCGACCAGAATTTCGGAAATGATAACTTAAGCGTTACTCCTTAGTAGTGATATACTAGCTCCTCTTTACGAAACACAAACTCAGGGTGCAAAAGCTCAAGGCATAATAACATTTACTAGTAGCGGTGGCAGAACCTTGGGGGGGGTTTACAAACTGTAATTTGCAAGCATATTAAGGCACCAATTCATCCATCCATTTTTATTGTAAAATTATGATTTTTCATTATGAATAAAACTAGATATATAAAAACATTGAAAAACTGTTAAAAACATACACTAACGTATACACAATTATCATACACCGGTATTATCATATTTGTCCGGCCCCTGACTAGTAGTAGATAGAAGCAATGACCAATCGCCATGAGATGAGCATTCGATGTCAGAACGAGCGCTGACTCGGGCTCTACAAGTGGTTCTCTGGGTCACGGCTCAGGCCCAATTACCCCTCCTCCCAACTCTGGATTACGGACTGTAGTGTCGTTATTTCAGCCAGGTTCTACGTGGTTAGAAAACCAATACGGCACTAATAATTATTACGTATTACATTGCAGAACTGCAAGGCGAGCGTCTTTTTATCAGCACGAACACGGTCCGGCCCTGACAAAATCAGCCCATGGATCGAAGTGGGCAGAGCCGAGGCCAAGAGCCCACAGGACTCCCATGGCTCCCATCAAGCAGCGACTCCGACGGACGGCTCCCCACCGCCCTGCCGGAGCTGCTGCCGAACGCCACCGCCGCTGCGGCGACGGCTCGGCGCGCGGCTGCTCCTTGAGGCGCTTCAACCGCCATCACGTTGGGTCAAACCAAACAAGCGCTTAAACACGCCGCGGCCGTGGCGCTTCTCGTTTTCGGCCAGCGCAAGGATGCTTGCTGTGATTGAAAGAAGCCAAAACAGTAGGGAGATGGGAAAATTAAGATTGCAAATCAAACCAGATTGAGCTGGAACAGAGCTTAAACGCAACAGATACTGGAAATGAGAACTTAAGCCTGACTTAGTACTACTATGCTAGCTCATCTCTACGAAACACAAGACTCTGGGTACTATCCAACGAAACAGGAACAAAAACTCAGTCATAATAACATTTACTACTAGTAGAAAACAATGACCAACAGGATCCAAAATATGCTTCATTCCGTAGCATTTTGGTTTCCAACTATTAGCTTCATCAGTAATTAGTTGATCCATCTTACTCTGGTCCTGCATATCCAACAGAAAGGAAACTGATTTCTCTGAATGAAACCATAACATTGCATAAAAACGACATTCTCGAGGAAAACTAGAACATTACCAGTGATTATACCATCAGTTATCTATTATGCTTAAGTGCCGTGAGCTTGGCGACGAGGTCTATCAGGACAGACGGGCAGATGCTTCTCAGATGGTCCAAACCACCGACCGCCATAACTTGTTTGAGATGAGCAGGGAAGTCCAAGCATTCCTCCTTGAGCCGCCGGCAGTGGTGCTGCTCAGCTAGCGCAAGGATGGTAGCCACTGTGTTCGTGTTGATGTAGCTGCCCAACCTTCTTTCGCACGCCAGCCTCAGCCCCTGGACACCATACCTATCTGCTGCCACAAGCAACTGCTGCCACATCACATTAGCATCGCCATCATTTCTCTCTCCCTGTTTTCTCTTCTTCATAATTGGCACGGTATCAGTGTAAATGAATGTAAGCAAGAGCTTGAACACTCTTGCTTCTATCAGCCTGTTCGGCTGGGGCTGAAACGATCGTATATGATCGTGGATTATTACTGCTGGCTGGTTTTGTGTGAGAGAAAAATACTGTTCTTGGGGCTGAAACGATCGTATATGATCGTGGATTATTACTGCTGGCTGGTTTTGTGTGAGAGAAAAATACTGTTCTAGCTGGAAATTTACGATCGTTTACGATCAAACGAACCGCGCGTATGTCGTCTATGCGTATGACATCGGAGGCTGTGTCCTTCTTCATCGGGCCGAAGAACTCAGCTCTGAAGACACCGGTGTGCACAGATCGTCTCACCACTGACCTGAAATGTCACATCCGTTCTCTCTTTGGACTCGAGGAGAGACAAAAATTCCAGGTGCATATCAGATTTTGGCACCACAAAAGTCGGCTGAGCAAATGCAGTGGAATCCCCAGTGTTCAGCTTCCTAATGGCATCTTTCAAAACAGAGGGGCACCTACTAACCAAATGGTCCAAGCCGTCGAGCGCCATTACTTCCTGTAGATTGGTAGGAGAGTTGAGGAAATCCAAGCACGCCTCCTTGAGCACTCGGCAATGGTGCTGCTCAGCTAGCGCAAGAATAGTTGCCACCGTGCTTGTGTTGATGTATGCACACAACTCTTGTTCACAAATCAGTGTCAGCCTTGGGAGATCATATCTGTCTGCCGCTTCAATCAAGTGCTGCCACATAATTTCGTCTTCGCTATCGACTCGACATTATGAGGCAACTCACGGCGACGTATTGTGATTTTCACTAAGATCAACGTCAACAAGCAAAGGACGACCCTCGAGCATGCATGCAAGAAATAAATTCTCTTGCTACCGATCTACACTCACGAAACGTGACTCCAACGTTATCAATACAAACGAGTTAAGTCATAGCTTTTTCCATTGAATATTCTAACATATATATATATATATATCTTTGTCTACCTTCATAATTGTCAACAGCAGCGGCGGTCCTGTGCTTTCCCCATTTGTTTTTCATAATTTTTCTCAAATTACTTATTTCTCCACGTTAAACATCTTTAAGATGACGTATACTATCGCCATTCAAATCGGATCGCCCTCGCCCTCGGTCGGACACGCTCAAGGGCTTCGCCTCCCACACGAATTGACTCCGCCAGTTCTCGATTACGTCCGCTTGCCTCACGAATCTGCGTGTAGCGCCGTGCCACCGAGCCGCCGGTGTCGCCGAAAGCCGCCCGAGCCGCTCGTGCGTTGGCCGAGCCGTCAAGCCGCTTTTGAGCCACCATGTTTGCCGAGCCGCTCCCGCCGCCGAAGCTGCTTGAGCCGCCCGTGCGGCCGAAGCCGCCGAGCCACTCGAGCCACCAAGCGAGCTGCTAAGCGAGCCGCCTGAGTCGTAAGCAAGCCGCGCCGCGCCACGATGATGATCGCCGCGAAGAACGGCGTTGTGACAACAGCGACCGCCGTCATAACGACATGCCAGAAAAGCTCGAGGGCTTGGCAATTTCATCGCCGCCGACAAGTCACGTTTTCATTTGCGTTATCCAGAAGTAGCCCTGTCCTCGACTTAGCACCTAAACATGCACAAGCAGGAGCGCCCTGCGTCATGAGCGGGCGGCAGTGGCTCCTCGGTGATGCCCATATTCCTAAGCATGCACAAGAATCTTGGGATAGAATGCCCCGCATGTCTCGTTGGTATAGTGCTAAGCACTCTCCATGTTCTTCAATTTTGTCACGGTTAAGTGCTAAGCACTCTCCAATGATCTCCACGTTCTCCAATATCGCCACGGTTAAGTGCTAAGCACTCTCCAATGATCTCCATGTTCTCCAATGATCTCTAATATTCTCCATGTTCGCCATGGTATAGTGCTAAGCACTCTCCATGTTGTCTAAATTTCTCCATGTTCTCCAAATTTCGCCATGTTCGCCAATGTTTGCCACGGTATAGTGCTAAGCACTCTCCATGTTCTCCAAATTTCTCTATGTTCTCTAAATTTCGCCATGTTCGCCACGGTATAGTGCTGAGCACTCTCCATGTTCTCCAAATCTCTCCATGTTCTCCAATTTCGCCATGGTATAGTGCTAAGCACTCTCCAAAATTCACCACGGTTAATTGCTAAGTACTCTCTCTATTTTTAAGTGCTCAACACTCTCCAAATTTTACTCCTATGTCTAGTGCTAAGCACGGAGATTTAGTCCTTTATACAATTATGAATAAACTCCAAATAAACATAAACTGCTCTATAGGATATAAAATTCACCGATACAATCCATGATAAACTCCGCTCTATTTTCTTCATCACTGAGTTCATATATTTTATTTTTAAATCATGTACTACATGTCCTATATATTTGTATTGCAGGATCATCATCTGGGTGGTCGCACCATCTGGCCTTCAAAATTCTTCGCCGATCAACTGGTCGGGCCACTAGGTTCATGACTTCGTCGCCGACCAGTTGGACGGACCTTTCGGCATTCACTTTTACTCGGCGCTCACTTCGCCGCCGATCAGTTGGTTGGGCTGCTCGTACCTGATTCTTCTCCAATCAACTGGTCGGATTGTCTATTGTTTCATGGTTAGTTACTCTGGGGGTTTGCTAGCTAAGCTGGGGACTTCGTCTGCCGATTCGCTTGTTGGCTTAATACGTTTTGCCGACGCTGCATGTCATATGTGATATCAAGGTTTTCCATGCTGTCTAGATCAGGTTGCTGATCTTGGGCGGCACATCAGGGGCTTTGATAAGTATATCTATCGTAGCAATCCAGTGCTAAGCACTTTCCGTTTTCTCCACGTTTTACCGCTCGATATTATCAAGTTTTACTCCATATGTCAAGTGCTAAGTGCGGGGATTTCGTCCTTGACACTTAATTCTTTGATCCTGGTACAAGATGTTTTCTATCTTACAGCAGGCTCGGGGACTAAATGTGTACACTTCACCTTGCGGTGAATGTATTGTTTTTCTTCTTACTGGTTTTTTCAGCTAAGCTAGGGACTAGTTGTGTGCTCGGCTAAGCTGGGAATTGGTTGTTTTGACTAAGTGATCGTTGAAATTCTTTGATCCTGACACCAGGTGTCTTCTTCACCTACTGTTAGGCTCGGGGACTACAATGTATATATTGCACCTTGCGGCGCATACATCAGTACTAATATTCTTTTTGCATAAGTCATGGATGATGATTATCTGACTTCACCAACATAGCCTAAGTGTGTACACTTCACCTAAGGTGAAGAATTTTTAAATTTTAAACTTCAGCTCCTTACATCATTCTGGCAAGCCTTACTTAGCTAAGTCCGAGATCAGGTCACCTGATAAATTGGCTGGCTTCAATTTCCACCGGTCGGATTACCAGTTAAACTGATCGGCACTTCGTTTTGTTGATTGGATTACCAGTTAAACTGGTTAGATTGCCAGATTTGCTGGCTGACTCTAGGTTAAACTGCTCAGACTTGCTCAAGACAGCGTTGCTCAGTGGATACAAGGCGTTCGGGGATTAGCTGTGGGGGGTATAACTCCAGGTACCCAAGGCAATTGATATGGGCCGCACCGCCAAGGGAGGTCCAGCCTATAAGATCAAGGCCTACGGTGCCCAGTTCTGGTCGGCGTGCACCACAAGGCAATTAGAAGACATCTTGGCGATGAAGGAAGATCTTTTCGGATATGATAGATATCGTATTCTTTGTAAATACTTACTATACAACCAGATAGATCTAGGCCTAAACCGACTTGTAACCCTACCCCCAGACTATATAAGGCGGGTAGGGATCCCCCTCGAATTCATCTCATATTCAATACAATCAACCAAAGACACACGACGTAGGTGTAAGGAAAATAGACCTTAGACCCATTTACTTTTGATTTTGGTGTTTGATGACCAACACAACCAAATTGGATTAATGAATTTATAAGTAATTGTTTTGTAGTTCAATAGGGTGCAAGACGTGACTTGGACGAAGGCGACATGATGATCCGATGATCAACACCATAAGCAAGACCCTAGAAGCATAAGAGAAGACCCAAGATTTCAAACAAAGTCCAAACATGAAGACGAAAACCAAGCTAGACGCAAGATCACGAAGAAATGAGCTACACAGAGGTGATCGGATGCGGCCCTATGAGTGACCAGACGCGTTCAATCAGTTGATCGGCAACAGCAGGCGTCAGCAGCTGCGACCGGGCGCTGAGCGAGGTAGTGACCGGATGTATGGACTTCACTGTTCATCGTAGCGGCAATAATTCAGCATGACCAGACACAGTGGCTGTGGACGATCGGATGCGCCAGGCAGTGGCGTCCGATCGAGTCTAGAAAAGTTCCAGAGCGGCGCCAGCGCGACCGGACGCATCCAATCGATGAAGACTGGAGTCGGCCCAGAGTCCAATCAACGCACGTGCTCTAACGGTTGGGACAACCGGACACGTCCGGTTAGGACGACAGCAGCGTCCGGTCAGTAGCAGAAAGCTGGGTTTCACCCCCAACGACTACTTTCTCGGTGGGGCTTATAAATAGACCCCCAACCGGCCATTTGAGATGTGGAGAGCTGAGAAAACATATCAAGGGTGTTGATACACCATTTTAGTGATCTTTACTTGCATAGTGCTTAGTGATTCATTAGGTGATTAGCGTAGGTGCTTTGCGAAGTGCTTAGGTTGATTAGACCACCGCTTATGCGCTTGCTCTAGGTTTAGCCTAGTGTTTAGTGAGATTTGCATACCTCTTATCACTCGTTGCTTGCGCGCACCATTGTTGTACATCGGAGGGCCTTGTAGTCTTGCGAGATCACACCAACCGCGTTTGTGGTGTGGCCGCCACCGTGTATCGAAGGGAACAAGGCCCGCGGCGTTTTGGCCGAAAGCTTGATAGTGAAGACGGCGGGGAGCATCCGGGAGGGGATTGCTAGAAGGCACGTCGGAGACCCACTTGCGCGTGGGGAAGGCCCGAGGCTATCCACGGAGTTACCCGACCGGGAGCTTGGTCCTTGCGAGGGGCTCCAACGAGGACTAGGAGGAAGCTTGCGCGCTTCTCGATACCTTGGTAAAAATACCAGAGTCGTCGACGGGAGTTTGTATATCTCTACCTTACTCTTTAGCTTCCGTATTTACATTGCAATCTTGGTGTGTGCTTTACTTTCCTAGCTTAGTGATAGGCTAGTTGATAGGTTTGGAACCTAGGTTGCATAACTCCTTTTGCGGTAGAGATAGCAACATACTAGCAAAACCGTAGTTGCACATTTAGATAGTTTATCTTTTGTAAAGGTTTTGCTAATGATAGAAAAAGAGGCCATAGTCTAGAGTTAGAGTTTTAAGTTGCCTAATTCAACCCCCTCTTAGGCGTCCACGGTCCCTTTCAAAAGAGGGTATTACGTCGATCAGATGGCTGAACTCTGTCTAAAACCGCTGTCTCTGCGCCCGTGTCACCATCCGGTTCCTATTACGCGCACCTCCACCGATCATCTACTACCGTGGGTATACCCCTCGGTAGACTGCCGACTAGATTTCGTCGACTGGTGAAAGATGTCATATGCCGG